TGTAGATTAATTCGGTTCAACTTACTCTTTATCTTTTCCTAATTCATAGACTTAGAAAAAAAATGAAGTTAGTTGTGAACCAAGATTAAAATTAAACTATATTGATAAAAACGGCAAAACAATTAAATTGATTACTGCAATGTAAGACGAAATAAAACTTTCACGTAAAGACATGCGCGCATGATGAAAAACGAAGAAAAGAGAGAAATGTGCTTGGTGAGCTATCTCGGTCCACCAATGATAGCCGCCTGGCATAAAGAAATGAAGGCGAAGAAGAAAGAGGAGAAGAAGAAAAAGCAGGTCGAGGTCGCTCAAGCAGTTTGAATAACGGCGCGTAATTGCATACGATTTTGTATGGTGTTACGTATCCTTCTCGTTTTGCGAGAAAAGGAGAGAGGATAAAAAGAGAAAGCATCGGCAGTAGGGTTTCGCTTAAAAAGAAAAGAAACGGAAGAGATAAAACGCCCGGCGCGAGATTCAGACTATTCGGCCTGTCGGGGATAAATAATTTCGTGCCAGACTTCGGCCAGACGTCCTCGTCTGCGAGAGGAGGAGAATAGAATCTGAACGCCTCTCTCTCTCTCTCTCTCTCTCTCTCTTTCATTTCGTGTGCCGCTATGATAAATAAATCGCAATAATCAAAGCATTACAAGCATTATTGACTCAAAAGACACAAGCGCGAATAACGTGCGGTAGCAACATTTCACGCGGAGATGTATCCTGTTAAAAAAACTATCATCGAATGAATCATTATTTTTTCATCACGCAAAACAAGATTATATAGCACATATGTTAATTAACTTATTTGCTTTAACATAAGTATCTACGAGATTTCTTTCGAAGTTTTTTTTTCTGATTTTATTTTTTGCTCATCGCTTCCAGGAAGCAATAAATTGAAATTAAAATTCTTGAATAACAGCTGAAAAAATTAACCAGGCAACTTTATCAAATAACAACGAAAAAAAATAATTACTTCCGAATGTTAAACTTGTTGATTTAAATTTCAATTATTTCATTTATCTTGATTTAAATTTCAACGTGTGCAGTTCTTATTATGAAAATGCATGTGGAACATACAACAATAATTATAATAATAATTAGATGGAGCAACTTTAAAGAAAAAGATAAGAAAACTCTTAAATGCATTAGTAAACGAAACTCATTTAAAGTATAAATTATAAATTGACATTCATTTTTCGTTCAAAAAATCTTATGTGTAATGTGATTATTTATTTAGCACATGTGGAATATGTACAATGTATCTCGCATATTATATTATATACTTATTCTTTGTTCAATTTCGCGACGTATCTTTACGATGACAATGGGAAGGGAATGATGAGCTGGGGCGGAGGGGGGAGGGGGAAGAGGAAGCTAAAATAGGTCATCGAAGAGTCTTCCACTCCTGAAGGACGCTTGGCGTCTCGCACGTCAAGGTCTTCGATAGCATCTTCCGCTCTTTCCCAGAGCAATGTTTTTCTCTCTCTTTATCTGTCTTTTTCTCTAACTTCTTCTTCCTTTCTCTACTTCTGTCTCTTTTGTTTTTTTGCACTCGTCGTCCACGTGCGGTACACACTGTCCATTTTCAATCGGTCAACGTCCGGTCAGCCTGTCGGCCGTCAACTCGTTGCACGTGGAGTGCGATTTCTCTCTTCCTCCATCGTCCCGTTCTTGATTCTCTATCTGTCCTCTTTTTTTTCTGTTCTCTTTTTCCCTCTCTTTCGCTGCGATCAAAGTATCACTACAAATGCTTTGAAGCATTTGGTTGATCAATTAGAAAAAAGAATTTTACAAATTGATCAATCAAAAATTGCTTCAAAGCATTTGTAGCATCCCCTTTGCGTTGACCATATCCTTTGTCTGCTTCTATCTCTTTCTTTATTAGTTTTTTTATTTTTATTTATAAAAAGATATTTTATTTATAAAATACTACTTTATTTACTACGGAGTAATAAAAAAGTTTTGTGTTTATCAACTCATTAGTAACGCATATTAAAAATGAACTCTGGAATGATATGTTTTATTTACAAATTTATTTCAGCTTTCATATAATATAAGATTTAAGACGCTTCGAGAATGCATGACATCAATGACAATTGCATCTTTCTACAATTCTCCTAGAAAACTAATAGAACGGTCTTCAGTTTATCAACCGAAGAAAATCTTATAATGCAGTCTTTTTAGTATTTAATGAGATGTAATTAAAACACTCCAAAGTTTGTTTTTTAATTATACGTACTATCCTGCAGATAGCGATAAGCTGAAGCTAGTATATTATTTCGAGTTCAACATTTTCTTTTTGTGCAGTCACATATGCTGTATTTATCAAATATCCTGTTCTAGATTTATTTTGTTGTTTATTTTTTATCAGAATTGTTCTAAATTGATATTTCTTTCTCTCTTTATTTTTTTTTTCTCTTATCCAGTTTTTTCTCTTCTCATATCGCAATATATTCTTGCATTATAATCATATTAGTTTCCTTTTTCGTTTTTTCGTCTTCGTTCTTAATACTTCTTATTCTCGCAAAAGTCGCGATTTATATCAATAAGAGCAAATCTAGAGTTGCGATAATGGCGCGATGATTGGTCAGACATGAAGTCGTAAAAGGTCTATTTCTGCACGACATCGCAGGTCGGTGACCGCAAGAATGATTGAAGATGATCCTCGTGGAAATCGTCATAAATGCAATAACAAGCGACATGTGCATTCGATGAGTATTAAATACTTACTCTGATAAAGAAGAATTTTGAAATTTATCTATGAAAAGTTTTCTCCACAAGCGTGTCCTCTTGAAAATATATTATGTTGTAAAATATATTAATGTGTTAAAAAAAGATAATTTTTCGATGTAAAAAAATGAAGTCGTTTTTAATCATTTTAATCTTCTTGATATTTTGTCTATTTTTTTTTTATTCCTTACTGTGATACCAATTTTATTCAGAAATCACGCAAGCCAGTTTAAAAATAAAATTATTTATTATATTGTACACACATATATATACATATATAAATATATAATATATATATTATATTATTAATTTAGAATAATAATAATTATTAATTAATTTTATAATATTTTTACGCAATAATCGGTGTAGAGAAAATCTCAATGAATCAATTCTAAAGTTGTATAAGAATATTATTGAGCATGAAGAGTCATCCTCATGATCTTTAAAGTACATCGGCGAATTACATAAAGACTCTGTTACGATGCTAACACAAAGCTGTCCGAACATGACGAGTAGAATTTTGTAGGGCAGTATTATAACAGATTAATCTCGTCAGTTTGACATGATTCCGTCAAAAATTAAATCGCATAAATCGACGGATCTCTTGTAATAAGTTAAGAAAGTGAGAAATAACTTTTGATTGATTGTATAACAACAAATAATATATATATTACATTATTAACCAATACACTATTGGTATATACATATATCAATGTGCATTGGCTATATACATACGTTAATTTAATTGTATATGAAAGCAATTTGTCTTAACTCTTATTATAGAAATTTTAAATTAACTGACTGCGAACAATAGACAAGGACAAAAAAGTAAATAAAAATAAAAGTAAATAAAAATAAATAAAAATATTAATAGATTTTTGTCCGCAATTTTTTATTTTGATCTTCGAGAACATTAATGTGCATTGATAAAAATAAAATTTGGAAAAGATAATAATTATTGAAATTATAATGACTAAATATTGCTATTTTCAACCTTCAACTAAAGTTGAGCTCGGCTTTGAGCTTTTTATATATACGTAAATCGCCAAAATACTGTCATTTTGTGTAATTGTCAATTATGTGACAGCATTTATTGGATATAAATAGAGAAAATCTATAAGTATAAAAAAATCTTATTATTTGAATTTTTGGTTTCCGCTTTTAGCAATTATTCAAAACTGCTTTGAATATATAATATGTATATAAAACTGAACTCAATTTAGTTATTGAGATAAATTCAATCTGTCGCAACTCGTCACGTAAAGGAACACGATCTCGTGCTATGACGCTGCGCTTGCTTAGCGCTAAGACACTACTGTGTCTCCAGATTAGGATAATTTTACGTATTTGTCTATTATTTGTTGGATTTGTCTATTTCAGGATTCTTTCAGAAGTTAATAAAATGGGCTAACAAGTTTGGTGATATTTATCTGGTCTGGGTTGGCATGCGGCCTTTCATCTTTCTTTATCGAGTAGAATCAGTGCAACCTCTACTCAGCAGCAGCGTACATATTGATAAAAGTCTAGAGTACCAATACTTGAAGCCTTGGTTAGGTACGGGACTGGTAACCAGTTCTGGTAAGTGAATCACAAATTAAAGTCGCGTCTCTGGCGAAAATGTAAAATTGAAGCGTAAGTCGAAGAGAGTAACACAAGTAAATGAAGCTTATAGAAGACAAAAATTTCAATAATAAAATATAAAAAAAGCGTAAACACCGAAGTCTCAATTTTGATCCCTTTGAAAAATCGTTTATTTTGTTACATTTTTTTTTACATTTTTGTTACTTTTCTCTTACACTTGATTTATGTTCCGATTTTTATTTTCATCAAAGATTACGCAGCAAAAATTAATTATTGCCATCGAAAAAAGTGATTTAATACTTGAAGATTTAAGATCGAAAGAATATTACATTTGTATATTTTATTTACTTTACCTTTAAATAAAAAATGTGGAAATACAATTTTTTTTAGAAATCATTGGCATGTGCTCAATGTCCAATGAACACACGTGTAGTATTTGGAGAACTGTGTCTCTCGTAACTGATAATAAATTTTATCTATAAGCACAATACCGCAACAATGTTGTAATATTGAATCGAATTTCTGTCCGATTTAAGTTTAGATAAACTTTATTAGCGCCATTATTATTAACTAATTAGCGTCGGCCTCTTGATTTCTGTGATAAAAGAATTTCAAAATCAAATAATATGATATCGTAAGACAGTTTTCATACTTCAGATGATAGTAAATTAAAATAAATACACATATATGTTATGCAATATTGGACTAGTTTCTTTTTTATCTTCATGGAAAACCAATTGGTTTTCTTTGTATCTAACAGATACAGTTTAATTTTTTGCTTTTTTATAAATCTACTTTTATAAATCTCCTGAATAGTCATCACAGCCGTATTAAATCGTCACATCAGAAGTAAGAAATGAAGAAATGAGAAAAATGTTAATTTTATTACGTGCCATTTATAAATAAAGGCAATTTGGAAAATTGCCTTTAAAATAAAATGAAATGATGAGATCGCTTTAAAACAATTGTAAAAATGGACAAAACTATCCTCTGATAGTTAGTAAATAATGTAAAAGTGATAAAAGGTACGTGAAGTACTTTTACTCATGCGTAATCTATTTTTACTTACTTGCCTTTTATCACTTTTTATGATTATTTAAAAATCGGCTTAAATCGGTTCGTATCGCGACTCTTATTAGAGAGTTTCTTAAAAGATCGAACTGTGTCATCTGTGTCTCTTCTGAGAAAGCTCCCAGAGCAATGATTGTCATAGCACAATTGCAATTGCGTTAGGCCGACAGTCGTCTCGTTCAATTCTTACATTATCTTGTTTTTTTTTTTTTTTTACAAACTCTATTACAATCTACCCGTGTTTCAACCTTGGCCTCCGCTATCTAAGTTATTACACTTTTCAATGTAGGAGCATTGACAACAATAAAATACAACAAGAAATATAAAAATCATTTGCTTGCAAAATCAATTAAATTTGATTTAATGATATTACGTTGCCTCGAGAATAAAATAATTATAAAAGAGATGATATTGGCAAATTAATCTAATCATTCAGACTGTCTGATCTTATCATACAATTTCACAAAAATAGAATAAAGAAAATATTTCTGATCGTTATCTTACCTTAAGTAAGATAACGATTAGTAATATTTCCTTTATTCTATTTTTGTGAAATTGTATAAAATTAATCTAATCATTCAGACTGTCTGACCTTGTCATACAATTTCACAAAAATAGAATAAAGTATTTTTGTGAAATTGTGATTAGATTAATTTGCGAATATCATCTCTTTTATAATTATTTTATTCTCAGGAATATTTCCTTTATTCTATTTTTATTATTTACACGCAAAAAGTTATCAATTACGCGAGTATGTAACAGAAATTATACGTAAAAAACTTCGGACTTTGAGCAATAACTAAAATAATTATACATCATTTCAAATTTCCGCAGAACAGATGTATTATTTGATTAGTATACTGTACGGCATTAATTTCAATATTATCTCAGGATTAAAACGTTCATTCTTTTTGAATGGATGTTATTTTTAGTAGCAAAGGAGGTCATGATACATCGCGAATGTGATAAAGTAATATTTCGAGATACCTCCCGAACTTCTGTTTATCGCATTTGTATTTATTATGATATTAACACTGTTAACATGACCGTTGATTTAATATAAATAACATTTTTCATCTTGATTTTTGCACTTTATAGCACCAACGTGTCAATTTCTCATTTTTTTTAAATTTTGGATATCAATACAAAATATGGTTTGAACTACATTAAACCAATGTTATTTCTTTAATTCTTGCGTATTTTCCAAACAGCGAACGATCTAAAATTTTAGATTATTTAGAGAAAAGAGAATCGTAATTTTTACGCGGATTTTTCTTATAGTAAAGGAACTCAGGACACTGGTGAGACACTTTTTCTTTTTCGATTTATATATCTTCAATAAAGAATATATGTATAATTGCAAAAGTATATGTACTTGCATTTGTTGAATACTTGTATGATTAGTTATTTTGACATTCGATAATTTCGATTATCTTTTTTATAGAGAAAAACATAAAAAATCGGGAGCAAAAAATCTACATTTATTTCACGATGCTCCTAGAGACACTGTGAGAATTCTTCATTTTCAATACTAGCGCGGATACAATAAATAAATTTACAGCCGCAATAAAAATTGTGATCTTTTTTTCAGGTGAGAAATGGCACGTTCGCAGGAAGCTGCTGACGCCCACCTTCCATAGCGGCCTCCTGGAGACGTATTTAAAAACTATAAAAGAAGAGACGAATGTTCTAATTTCCTGCCTTGAAAAAGAAGTAGACAAATGGTTTAACATTGTTCCGTTTGCGAAACGCGTCGCTCTTGATATTATATGTGGTGAGTTCAATAGACGCGGATTTCATTAAGTTTATAGATATAGAAATGTAGCAACTCCACAGAAGATATTTTCCTTTTATAGTATCTATTCTTTATCAAAGAGATGGCTTCGTTAAATGTAATTTAATAACGATGGTGATATCATGGACATATTCAGGATTTTTTTCGGAGAATTTTTTTATCAATTTTGTTATCATATAAACAGTAATTTTTTGCATTAATATTTATTTTTTTTTTTTGAATATTTCAAAGCTTAGAGTGTCTCCTTCTCATTTCTGATTTTAAAAGAAAAATATTAGGTTTTCTAATTATGACTTCTATTTTTTTTCTTAAAGAAAGTATAAACTAATACAATTATTATAAATATGTAGTTGTGGAATACTCATTAATATCTCAGCTCATATTCAATTTTTCGGTTTAAAAACAATTGTAATAATTTTTTATACATATACTAGTCAAAGATTTGCCTAACGGAAATTCCAGAAGTTACATAATCGTAATATAAAAAAAAATTTTATATAATAATAAAATTTACATATAACACATATAATACTAAAAAATAAAAAATTATATTGTTTATAAGAATAAAAAATTGTTTATTAAGAATAAAAAAATTTGAAAGAGGTTGAATCCTCTAACCCCTCTTCTATGATAGATTGCGCCATATATTAACCATCTCTAGCATGATAATCCTATCCTATAAATAATTTTGGAACTAATTATATAAAAATAATATGGAAAAATAATATGGAAAAAATTATATAAAAATGTTAACCGATTTATTAGGAATACAATTATTTTATTACGAAACAATTATTTTCTAATAAGTCATGACGTTTTCGGCATTATTAGAACTTTATTAAAATATTCGATTATGATATAATTGTGTTAAAAGAAACTGTTTGTGTACTCATTTTTCAATATAACATCAATTAAACAGAACACATAAAAAATTCTATTGAAAATATGTATCAGGATACATTAAATTTAAATTCCAATATCGTTAATTATACGAACTTCTTTCGTTATCTTTGAGAATTTGCAATGTTGGGATTCGCGCGATTCACGAGCGATGCTAAATTGAGATCTCTTCTTTCAGTCCATCCCGACAACAACGACGCTTCTGTCCGTATTACTAAGATAACATAGTGACTACCATTTTCTCCGGCACTTTTGATTTATTATCTTTTTAATCTTTTTCGTCATAATCGAGCACATCAAGCTGAAACGAATTGCCTCATTAGTTATTAACAATAATCCAGCAATTAAATTTTTGAAGGTTCAAGGAGATTTCTGTGAGATCTTGAAAGGACATATTTATCCTCCTTCGAATAATTGATAGAAACGAGATTTGTTTTTATTCGGCACAAATTCATCTGGGGCATTCTTATTGCGTGAATGATGTTTGAAAAACAATGATATAATTGAGAAAAAAATATGTGATATAAATATTAATGCGAACGAAGGAGTTCGATACAAACGATGCGCTAAATGATGGCCTTCAGCTGCTCCGATTAAAATACTCGAACACTACAATTTATTCATTCATTTGTTAGTAGATAATTGCAGACACACATCTTTTGCGTCTCTTTCATGCTATTAATATCATCACTAACACTTCATATGTTCATAATTGTCTTATAATAACAAACGAACATTACATTATCAATATTACGTTATCAGCAAAACTTTCAAAACAGGAAGAATGATTTGCTGAAGTATTCTAAAAATTTAGCTAGATACAAATCTGAAAATCTTCTATATTTTTTCTTTCTATATCTAACTAAATTTTTAAATACTTCAACAAAACTGTTTTTTCCATGTTATTATACTGTAAAGATTCGTGCAGTAACTTCGTCATATCCAATTTATCTTTTTTCGGTGAATTAAATAATTTCTCCTTGACATCAAAATGATCCATTTGCTTCAACTTCGACAAACCATTCGACCACAGATTCTCAGATTGCATAATCGATGTATCTGTGTCTTATGTCTCGATAACTTGAAATATTAATTAAATCGATCCTTTCGCGGTTGCGATAATTCAATTATCCTGCGTAGCTGCGGTTTGCAATAAATTTTTCACATAATAATATTTTATAATTTGTTAGTGAGGTTAATAAACTTTAACAATCGTTCGTATTTCACACGAAATGTATTTATTTTCCAACCTGAATTTTTAATTTTATAAATTTTTTTTGCAGAATCTTTAACAAATTATTTTTGCAAAGATTTATTAAATTCAAATAGAAATTATAATAGTGATAATCTAAATATTTTAAATCACTAACTTATTGCTTTAAGCGCGCTTGGTGAGACGGAATTAATAGGAAATATTTCAGTGTTGGAATCATGAATCACTTTGGATACGCAAGCTCGATTATATGAGACATCGATAGTGTTTTACTTTTCAAAATCTTTTCAGAAATCTCAGGCTTTGTTGCATGAGAAGTTAAACCAGTCATTTTATTCGCTCTGTTATCTTGTACAGCAACGCGGATATTTTTATCTAAATAAATTTAATCATTTTACGACATATATCTAATATAAATTATTGGTCAATTAAACTTTATAATATTCCTTACAGAAATCTAATTTTATCAATTTAATATTAGCCAATCTATTATTGAAAGGTAGTAATTAATTATTTATTTGGAATACTAAAAATACCGAAGAAATTCTTCAATGCTTAAAATAAATATTTAAGTACTGTCTTGTTGATATTGGTCAGTAGACTTAATATTAGATTACTATTGGTAGTAGATTTTTTTGTAAGAAATGTATTGATGAATATTATGAAAATTCCTGTGAGAAAAGGGATAAGCGATCGATTATTCCTCGTTCGATCGTTTCGATCGTTTACTCATTGATCGCAAATGTATCGACCATGGTAGTTTCTTCCACCATGATATCGATGATGATCGATAGAGCGTTATTAAAATATATATATTATAGAATAAATACATTTCATATGTGTGTTATCTACATTACACCGTTCACGATGTGAATAACATCAATTATCATGTCAATGACATATATTATTAACTGTCATTAATGTTTATGTGATATATTGCATATTATTATTTTGAACACGATCGCAAATGATGAATTTTAGTATCATTAAAACATTGATGTTATAATACCTGAAGTTTGTCCTTGTGTAATTATTTCAGAGTCAGGATTAGATGTTTCAATGCAGAGGCAAAAGAAAAAATGCATCTCTTAGTAACAAAAAATTGTTTTGTGCGGCATGTAAAATAATAATAAAATAAGTGACATATATTAATATTAATTTAATAAGAACATATATATAATCACATACACATATGTACTTTACATATAAATTACGCGCGTGTATATTATAAACGAACAAAACAACTACCAAATTATATATTACAGTAAACTCAAAAGTGTATAGCATATATATAAATAATATTATACACATATATAAATAATATTAATTCTTCTAAAAATTCTTAGAAAATCGATTTCTTCATTTAAAATTACACTTTTTATGCTTTGATAATCGCAAAATTGACAATTATTTTATGAAAATTTTTATTATCCTTACATATACATTTTATTTTCTTATGCACAGCGAGCTCTCAACAGCGAACGCGCCTGTTAGCAGCAAATAAATTAAAATATATAAATATTCATTTTTGCCATTTTTGCCATCAACTATCATTTTATGCATATTTTTGCACTCTTTAAAATTTTTTATATGAACTGACTTCCTCATCGTTATATCTTAATTCCGGCTTTGAATTATTTATCCATATATTATGTACATTGATTAAATAAATGGAATTAATGCAAAATTTATCAGTATTTATTGTATATATTGTATATTAGAATATTCCATACAGATTACAAAAATTTTTTTATTTAAATTTAATTTTAATAATTTAATTAATAATAATAACTAATTATTTTTAACAGTTTAATTTAATTTTATCAATTTTATTGCAGATACTGCGATGGGTTACAAACTTAACTCGCAAAAGAACTTGACAAAGTTGAAAGTTGACTACGTCGAGGCTGTAGATAAGTAAGTTAATGATTTTTTTTTTATGTTTTTGTATTCAGGTTTTCTTATGCAATTTTATACAATATACACATTTTGAATCTTATTTTTAAAAAATATAATAAAATATTTATTTCTAACTTTTAGGGTTGCATCTATTGTGCAAATGCGTTTCACAAATGTATGGTTATCATTTGATTCAATTTTCAAGTTAACTAAGTCAGGCAAAGAGCACGATCATTCAATTCAAATTATACAGGAATTTGTCAGCAAGGTAATGATCATTCTAAACACAGATAGTTAAAATCTTCTAAGCCAGGCTATCTTCAATAGCTGTCCCAGTTTTTTGAGAGATTTCGAATAACATTATTGCAAAAAATAACAGAGATTAACTATTTCATTACTATCTATTTTGTGTTAAATTAATCACTAAAATTTCAGGTCAGTTTTCGTTTCAAATTTAGACTCACATGTTCGTGAATGGAAAAATAGAGAAATATCTCTTTTCTTCAGTGCAGTTGCTCTCATTTTATTATACTCATATATTATATAAAGAAAATCATTATATTTTAACTTCCTTCTAATAAATTCAATAATAAATTCAATTTTGGACTTTTTCAAACATATGTTTGAAAGTTAGATCAGAATAATAAGAAAACTTACTTATAATACTTCTCCACTCTCATATTCCACTCCACTCTCATATTCCACTTGCAATATTTAGTCATTGCAAATAATACGCGATAATATTTAGAACAATCTAATCTTCAGGTAATTGTAAAAAGAAAAGCCGAATGGAAAAGCGATGCCAACTTCAACAATTCAAAGAAAAAGAGACAGGCCCTACTAGATTTATTATTACAAATATCACAAAATGGCACTATCCTTTCGGATGAAGACATTTATGAAGAAGTAAATACTTTTATGTACGCTGGACATGATACGCTGGCCACCAGCATATCATGGACACTTTACGCGCTAGGACGAAACCCCGAATACCAGGTATGATTCCTTTCTGTATTGTATTATCACTGCTATGCTTAATTCTAATACACGATGAAATCTAATAAATAATATTATTTTGTTTTATATATATATCATTTTTAACAACCTTAAAGAACTTGTATTTTTACATTTCGTCTGCATTAGATGTATTTCTTAAATTATAAAATTAATTAAGAAGATACAGAAGATCTAATTGAAAGTGTCATCTTTTTCTATATTTTTTAACATTAATTTAATGTAGTGCTTTCTTGTTTTTAGCAAAAAATTTTAGAGGAATACAATGATATGATGATGGACACGGATGAAATTACATTGGAGAATATACACAAATTAACATGGTTGGAAGCTTGCATCAAGGAACAATGGAGATTATACCCTGTGACTCCACTTATAGCAAGACAAATTTACAAACCAATTGAAATAAGTAAGTAATCTAATACCTAATCTCTCTCTATTCGTGTTCGAGCGTGAACTTCTCTCATATGCCTGTGGTGCGCACGCTAGTTATACACAGTTCATATGGGATCTACACAGTTTAAACATCGATTTCGAACAATGATGTCTGTTAGAGAAGTTCTTTTCGCAAAGATACTCTCGATGGTTTGTCATTGTCTCCCGAGAGGGGATACGAGTATAATGAAAATATTTTTTTGTTTTGATACCGCCGGATTTCTAACATTGCAGACTAGTGCGCTGTCCACTTTGCCGCTTCCAAAGTACTCTCTATACGAGAATCCTAATTAAATACAAATCTGGAAATTTTAGACTATCAAAATAATTATATCGGATTAGGAAAAAAGGTCGGTACCCCTGAATAACTTGGAAAATATAAATTTTATAGAAAAATATTTCAGATGAAAAAGTTGCAGAATGTAAATTGGTCCAAATATTTTTAAAATTATTTTTTAAATATAATAACACATATTAATGCATGATTGTCGAAGTGTTGGACTGTTTGAAAATAAATATAAATAATACTTGTCAATGCCGCTATTATTTGTCGAATAGATTGCATAAAAAATTACGTGGAAAATTGTATGTACAACGTATGTAAAGAACGATCTTACTGAGATATTTAAAAAAATTAGACAGATACAGATTTGAAAATTTCCAAAATATTTTAAATATCAATTACACCATTTTATATTAATCAATATTAATCAATATCAAAATTATTACAATTATTGATCATCACATTGATCAATATTAATAGAGTGTTGTACCAAGCATTTTATCAAGTAATTGTTAGAAAACTTTAAAATGCGATAAATAGTTATTGTCCAATCAACAATTGTATAATGCACACAAAAAATTTTTATTTACACGAAATGTCTTTTACCTGTTTTTAGTGAGCAATCAAATTCCACCAGGCTCAACAGTTCTCATCAACTCTTATTTATTACACCGTGACGATCGTTTCTTCCCAGAGCCGCACATTTATCGTCCGGAACGATTCTTGCCCGATGGTCCTAAATTACCTCCTTACGCTTTCATACCCTTTAGCGCTGGCTCGCGCAACTGCATCGGCTGGAAATTTGCCACATTAGTGGTTAAAATAGCCATCTTATCTGTGCTGAAAGCTTTCCATGTGGAAGCTCTCGATAAAGAGGATGAATTGCGTTTTATATCGGAATTGGTGTTAGTCAACGCAAACGGACTTCGTCTTAAACTTACACCGCGTTAAAACATTGCGAATATTCTTCTCTTCTTTTCTCTCCGTACTACGGAAAAAAATCAATGCTGAAAAGAGTTCCTTAGTGCTTAATTAAATTTCTCTTTTCTGTAATCAAACAAATGTTTCGAAGCATTTGTAGCGCCAAGTAGACACTGCCGCACACTAAATTTTTTGACAGATAAGTTTGAAATATATAAAGTAACTATAAAAGTAATTATTAAATTAGTTACTAGTTACTAAAAGATATAACTAAGTTAAGTTATAATTACAGATGAAAAAAAAGTAACGAAATTAAGTTATAATAACTAAAAAAGATTCTTGTCTTCCCAGACAAGACTTTAATTAAAAAATAATTAAAGTTACAAATTTTGTTTTTTTCTTAGATTTATCATTATTGCCTGACTGTAGATATGCTGGGACGCTCATCGACCGTTTTTATTGATTCAAAGAACGATTTGCACGAGCGTAGTATTGAATGCCACTTCTGTTTATGGAAACTAGTGATGATGTATTATACTTTGTTGGATCAATATAAAAACTTCCTACGCCCAAATGATTTTTTTTTCAGGGATAAGAAATAACTAACGAAGTTACAGTTACTTTTTTTCAGTTACTGTAACTTAACTTCGTTACTTTTTTCTATCTGTAATTATAATTTAACTTAGTTATATCTTTTAAGTAACTAGTAACTATTTAATAATTTAATAATTATTTTTATAGTTACTTTATATATAATATTTCAAATTTATTTGTCAATGCAGTACGGTAATGTTCATTTGGCGCTATAAATGCTTCGAAACATTTGATTACAATCAGAAGAAAGAAATTTAATTAATGTAAAAAAAAACTAATGTTAAAAAAATTTTTTTAAACTGATGTTAAAAATTAATTTTTGTTAATTTTAATAATAATTAATGATAATTTTTATTGATATTTAAGATTATTGCTAGAATTTATTTGCGACTTTCTAGAAACATTTGCACTTTCTAAGTATGTAGTGCAATAATTTATATTATTTTCATCATAACTTAATTATAATATATTTAAATATAAAAATAATATATAAATTATTGTCACTACATACTTAGAAAGTATGAATTTTTCTAGAAAATTGCAAATAAATTCTGACAATAATCCTAAGAGTTTTTAATTAAAGCGTGTAAGATTTAACGTATGATGTAAAGTAAGGATATTTAGATGTAACATGTAATAATAGTTTTGTTTATATATTAACATTGAAAAGGTCCTAATGTAAGAACGATACGTTGTTAAATATTATATTTTACAAAATATTAGCAATTAAGATGTATTTGTATTTAGATAAATTTTAAGAATATTTTACCTATCATTGACTGTATATGTGAGCTATTTCACAATTATATTCATGTTTATTGTTTCATATTTATATTTCTTATTTTTTTGAATAAAAGTATATAACATATAAACATGTAAGTTTTTTTCTTTAATTGACTTAGGCTGCGTTATGCAGCCTAAGTGATTCTATGTATCATTCTTTTGTTTAAGTGAACAATAAGAACAAAACGATATACGGAGACAGTCGGGTAACGATTTTTGAACGCAACCCTAATGATACCGATGTTACATTTACTTTTGACATTCTGCTGAAAATTCGAATAAAAAAAACCTTGAAAATAACTTAAAAATAAAAATTATTTTTTTCAGTAATTGTAACTGTAACGAATTACTTTTCAAAATCAATAACTTGTAACGGTAATTAATTACTTTTACAAAGTTTTAACTTTCCATCCCTATTTTTTTTACATCGAATATATTAAAAATAAAATTAATTTGAGCGACGGTTTCTGTTAATATTTTTTGTCATATAAGGAATATATTATACTATTCCTTATGTGATAAAAAATACTAATAGGAGCGTTGCTCAAAATATTGTAAGAGCTCAATCAATGATCTTGAATAACACAGCCACAATCACAAAAATAAACATAATTAATAATGACCTTAATAATAATACATAACAATTTTTCCTTCGAATCTAAATTTCTTAAAAGTTTTAACATTTGACATATAGTATTGCTGTACTTCTATTAACAAAATCAATAAAACATTTATCAACCTCTATATATATATGTATAATATTCAAGAACAAATAATCTATCTAAGATCAATCTTGTTATATAATAACATATCAAATTTTCTTTAATTGCAAAGTCAGTAATTTTCTTTAGTGTCCTTATGTGATAAGCATAGAGTGAATGATATCAGTCAATTGTGTTTGTAATAATTTAAATTTAATATCTGTAATATAAGCTTAGACAAAGTATAAATTATTAACATTATCATTCTATGCAGAACAACTTAAACAATTTGAACAAATATTAGTCTTGACTTACAATTATTTATATAATATTTATAATTTTAGCATAAATCACATAACAATTTGTTTTTTGTTCATTTTTTGCTCATTGTAATTTATCTCAAATATAACTACTCAAATATAACTTTCCTAAAATTTTTTTCCTAAAATAACTTTCCTAAAATTTTAGAAGAAAATTTTTTAGACAAAAATTATATTTCAAAAAAAATTAATTTTTCAAGGTCATAAATATACCGCTATTAATATCAATATCGCTATTTTTACAGAATATATGATAATTTTATAAAATATTATTCCTTTAATTAATAATTCTGCATATAAAATATACACAAATATAAAAGATTTTATATACACAAATATAAAAATGATTAAATTAAAATATGAGTCACACATGTATGAGATATTAATTGTACAATATTCTTTTTAGAAAAACTTTTTAGAAAAACTATGCTATATAAGGTGTTCCAAAATTCACAATTTAAAATATTACAAGAGAGCTTTCAAAAAATTAAATAAAAAAGTTATTTGTAAATTTTTATTTTAAGCACCAGTTTATGAAATAATAGCTTTAATTACGGACTACGTTTAAGCGCTGAAGTGCGCTTATATTAATACATACACGATCGTTATATTTATAATGACAGATGACCGTTTAAAATGTTTAAACGTTAATTAATTTATATAATCGACTTTATTTCAATTCTAAAATATAATATAAAATATAACTATATTTGTTAATTCAAATCTCTCTCTCTAAAAAAATTAAAAAATCCAGAATGCAATAAGAAAAAATCCATATATATATATATAATTTTTTAGAGAGATGTGAATTAATATAATTTCTCATCGTTGCTGACGTAATTCAACAAGATTGCAAAAAAAAAAACGTATTTTCAATAAAAAGAGACTTACGAGAATATCACTTGAATGAAAAAACATATATTGAATAAGCAACGATTGTTGAAAGATATACCAAATCCTGGTTGCAATACGCATGCTCCATCGAGCGCTCCAAAAACTAACGCAATTTAACATATTAAGGCACAGCTGGTATTGTGACGTTCATGACATTCGATGTATATATATATATATATAACTGTATACATATGCACGTGGTATCGCGCGCATAATCCGACTGCGCGATACATTGCATTATTACATCGCTGATAATTCGCGATCGACCGCCAACGCTGGCCGCAGTGGTTAGTGTGCCGATGAATTGCGTGACGCTCATTGGAGAATTCAACACGCGATTCATAACCTTCATAGGTTAGACCGCGAGATCGATCAACGAGGAAGGAAGTCAAGAAAGGAAAAAATAGATTTAGAGCGAATACGATGCGGGCGGCTGTCGCGGTGCTCTGCGTCTTCCTCGGTTGTTGCACCAACGTCGTGTTTCTGGAACTGCTTGTCAAGTGAGTACACCAATGATTCTAACCGGCCAAGTGTTGCATAACCGCGCACTGTATGTTATCTAGTAAAATTTTTACGATAACTTATCGCTTCTTTCACTTAATATCTGTAATTCGGTACAACTTAAAAAAAAGCACTTACCGCCTATAATACTTTAGCCGGAGATAGTACTGTTACGTAAAGTGAATGTCATGACAAAACAAATGAGAATTGAAAGATTTTCTTACATCATGCGTTGAATGACAAGTTTTTTTTTATCACTCTGATTTCAGAGATGATCCTGGCAGTGGGAATCTCATTACATTTTCACAATTCCTTTTTATATCCATCGAGGGATTCCTATTCACATCCAAGTGCGGCACTGTCAAACCAAACATAGGCATAAAGGATTACTTTATTCTGGTCACAATGTTTTTTGTCGCCAATGTATGCAATAATTATGCATTTGACTTTAATATTCCTATGCCGCTACACATGATATTTAGAGCTGTAAGTAAATTCATTCTCATATATATATAGATAGCATAGACCTCCAAGAGACATCATAGGCTGATATTACAGTCGGTTTTTATATTTAAAATTGTCTAGATGTCATAATCACATATTTAAAACGTTACTTAAGGCAATTTTAAAATAAGAATAGATTATAAATATCAACTTTAAAAATATCTCTATATTTTCTGAATGTTCAAAAGACATTCTCAGTCTCTTGAAGAAATTATGCTGTGTGTATTCTAATTAGCAACCTAGACAACATGTATGTCTAAAAGATATCTTAAAGACGTTATAAAAATGTGTATTATGGACATGTTGTCTGAGAGATACAATAGCCTGTATTGTAAGTGTATATTGTATTATTTCAGGGTTCTCTTATAGCTAACATGATTATGGGGATTATTATTTTAAATAAGAAATATACATTTAGCAAGTACCTGTCAGTATTTATGATCACCACAGGAATAGCGCTCTGCACAATTGTTAGTGGCAAGGAAATCAAATCCTTGCAGCAGAAAAATGTGCAAGTAGCTACGACACCGTGGGATGACTTTTTCTGGTGGGCTTTAGGCATATTATTACTTACGATCGCTTTATTCGTTTCTGCTAGAATGGGTATTTATCAAGAAGAACTACATAGTCGGTATGGTAAAAACGCGCGGGAAGCTTTGTATTATACAGTAAGTCTTATTTCTTCCTGCGTTAAATATTAATCAACGTCAAGATAATTGACGATATAATGGAAATTTTTTTACAGCACTTGTTACCCTTGCCGTTCTTCCTAACGCTAGCGCCTAATATTTACGATCATTGGAACTTCGCACTCGCATCTGAACCATTAAGGTTGCCTGTGATCGGTGTATATATGCCATCGTTAATCGTATATTTAATTGGAAATGTTCTAACGCAGTATCCTTTTTTAAATACAGCTATATTATATTACATACATGCGTATATATCAACGCATAATATCAACATATCTGACGAATATATCACATACTCAAAGTATTCGCCTTAATTGTACTTTCAGATACATGTGCATCAGCTCTGTATTCGTATTAACCACGGAATGCAGCTCTCTCACAGTTACTCTGGTAATAACGCTGCGAAAATTTCTGTCATTATTATTCTCTATAGTTTATTTCAAGAATCCATTTACTATATATCATTGGATTGGTACGCTGCTAGTCTTCGTAGGCACAATTATTTTTACGGAAGTAATACCAAAGATTATACAAAGCTTACCCAAGAAAAAAGTGGAATAATTCATTAATTTTAAGAATAAGGCAAATAATCTCCTATTGACTACGAATTATTCGAGGTATTTATAGTAGTCGCGTTATTTCAATATGTATAAAATAAAAAAAATTTTTTTGATAAATGTGGTGATAGTTTTGAATAGATAGCGAAAATGCTCCATATTATTGTATATAAATTTACAGATATGTTTTTTGTAAAATGATAGCAGATTTTCAAAATGTAATGTCTACCTCAATATTTTTCATAATTCAATTAATGAATAAAAAGAAAATGCATTCTTTCTCTTTTGATAAAAAAATATATGTATTGGATGGATCAGTTTATTAATGCTCTATAAATTGGACTATTGTTGGTGTGATCAAAAACTTCGTAATTTTGTGTTTTAACGATGCAAGTATATATTTCCATTTTATAGTATATATATATATATATATATATTTTTTTTTACAATAAATATATATCTTTCTATCTAGTAACAATTTAATTTAAATTCGATATTCGACAGGGCACAGTGTTCAAGTGTTATAGATGATCGTATATATCGCTTAATTTAAATCCTTTAGGCTCGTTGTTCAGAGAGTTTTCTCGGAAAATGGTAGATGCAAAAAAAGATAAAAAGAATCACGAAGTTAAAATAACGAGAAATATATTTATATCGTTGCATCATACCTTGGCACGCATGTAAAGCTCGTAAAATATCTTAGTTACATCTAATCAAATAATTTCCTATTTACACTCTCTATTTGTAGAAAGAAGGATATACAATGGCACGAGTTAACTATCCGCATACGAGCCAGTTATCTGAATGCTCGCCGAAACAAACGTTATTTACGATTAAGATATAAATGTACAAAAATGTAAGAAAATAAAACTAAAATCCAAGAAAGATATATCGCTATCACCGTACACGGCCGAGATGTGAAAAACGGATTTATTTTATCACGAGCTTAACGTCAAGGTGAATAAACGTAATATTCGTTTCTAGCCTAGTTTGTTACAATACGTATACTGATACGAATTCTGCAATGAATTAGAAGAAATATCTTCTAATAGTTATTATTAAATTGGTCAACGTATATGTATAATTTCTGATTGATTTACTCTTGCGATTGAAGTCTTTAAAAAAGGTGCAAGATGAAAGATGAACGATACATACATAAAGTTCATAATTTGTTTAAGCAACAAATACGGATTTCCATAATAAATTATGGATTCAATTTAGAAACTGATTCCATAATTTAATGATTCCATAGAAATGTAATGGTCTCATGAAATCGTATTTGGCCATTCACCTATCTATAGTCAAGGTAGAATTATACATACTTTTGTCACGCGATATCGATTTTAAGCACATTCTCACGTTGAAAAATCTGTGATACATATTTTAGATAATTTGGTATTGTACTTCATCTAATATATAATTTGATCGATGTTGTTCAGCCTCGATTTATATTCTTGATGTGTGAAGAGAAAAAGAGTAATTATATAAGAAAAAAAAATAATTTCCTTACGAATTCTCGTAATGTTTCAAAACATATTTTGTAGTTAGCATAAAAGAGTCAGAATCACAAGAATAAATCATATGAATAATCATAATTCGTCAATCTTTGAATATCATTTCACCTCAATCGATCTCCATCGGATTGATAAAATCCAAATAATCGATTATTATTAAAATGGAAGTGACTCAGGTTTTTCCACGACCTTGAAGATATTGGACAGTTCGTCAACTAAGGTTTCATATCGATAGGCCACTCGTATGTCTGGTACGTTGGTTCGAGTAATATCGTTACCAGCGACTCCCTCTTTTGTATAGTTAGGTCCCAACCAGTACTGCTTACTCTGCAAAATAAAACAATTAAATCACATGAAATTTCACGTCTACGCGTTAAGCAAGTATATGAAATTGAGAAATGTGCCATCACTATAATAATATAAGAGAATTTAAAGAAATCCGAAACCTCTTAGTTACTCTTTATATACACGAAAGATTGGAGAGCAGATATAATTACTCACCTTATGTGGAAAACCACTCATAAGAACGGAATTGCGTGCTAGCTCGCACATGTCACACGAACTGAGTTTCCACACTTGCGCAGCAATACTATATTCTTCCATCAGAGGTTCCTATAATGAATACATCATACATTAACTATACGAGATATATTAAATAAACAGCAATAATTATTTATGTATGTATAGTAACGAATTTTATAAATTACAAAAAAATCTCTCTACTCTATGCATTATTAGATTGTCTACAATAATTTCTCCTTTACCTTAGTAAAGTGAAACTGGAGAGGATCATCTGTAGACAAGCTTATACATAATCCTCTAGCAAGGTATTCTGGAAGTGGATTACGATGATAATTAAGAAAAAGCGAATTGTTACTGAGCGGCGACATCGCGATGCCGATTTGCGCTAGGTAATATAAATATTGAAGCACAGGAACTTTTCTGAGCAGTAAACCATGCGAAATGTTCTCCGCCATCATATAGCCACATACAAGATGTTGAATGGGTCCTGCTTCACCGCAATGAGGTCTCAAGACAAATGTATTGAAGCCTTGTTCTCTATAAAAGAATTCAGAATTATATTCATCCAAAATATATAAATAGAGAATTGCTCGAAATGAAATAAAAAAATTTGATAATCAACGTACGCTCTAAAGTGATTAAGAACCGTCATATTCGCGTAAGTGTAATATTGGTAATATCCGTATGGCGGATTTTCTATATCGTCCCACTCTGCAGGTGGACAAACATCCTTATCGAAAAGAGGATTTTCTGGCTTACTTTCATCATCTACAGAATCGAAGCCTATTACCTATAACGATTACATAGCATGTAAAACATTTAGAAAAGTATAATAAAAGCGAATAATTAGAAATAATTAGAAATTAGAAATAAAAATAACATGAAAACATACGTATTGGAGAAATTTATGCAGCTCCGGATGAGAATTGGGATCGTTGGTTACTTCGAAAAGTGGCAGGAAGATATTGTTGATAATCTCTTGGAAGTTCGTCATAAGCTTATTCAGCTTAAAGATATCACTATAGCATAAAATGCAATGAGAAATCTATCAAGTCTAAGTGCCGCGCATATCATACGATAGACTTACTATAATCTAGGAATCTGTATAAGCCAGCGCACATTATCTGAATAGACGTCGCTCTGAATTGCCCACTTAGCTAGTTTATCCCATTCTTCTGGACTCTTGCCATAGATCGAAAGACGCAGTTCTGCATTCTGATACTTGGACTCCTCAAGATCGCTTGCGACCTCCTTGATTATCCGCGCAAAATATGTGCCATTCAGATAGTTGTCGGTTTTGAGGAAAACCTCACGCAAGCGGCTCTCGCCGATAGGATTGTACTTCGCGTTGAACTTGTCAAATCTGTGAAACGTATTTCTGTCCTGCGAAGAAAAAAGAATAAAATGCAATACTTTTTAGAAACTTCCTCGATGTCTCTTGTAAATCTTCAGAAAAATACTTACTGCATGCACGTCCAACATATCGACGCTTAGATCGTAGGTAGTCAAATTCATGGATTGAAAGACTTCGCGGAGCGTCATAGTTTCATCGTTTTTGGAACAAGTAACCACTTCATCAGCATGATTCTTCAACGTTTTTTTAATAAATCTAAGCAGATGCTTTTGATTCATACACGAAGCCGCATGTATGTGAGTATCGACCTGAAAAATAAATCATATAATAGCGCAACTCAATTATATGCGGTGCTGAGATATAAGTAGAAAAACTCAACTTGAAATAACTATATAAAAAAAATATAAAATCTTTTTTAATTTCCTACTTTGAAATTGCATTATCCTGTTTCTAACTTTACAATAAATATTGATCTTACAAATTACAATCTTGATGTACTTTATATGAATTCGAATTGTTTGTGTACAAACTTTTCTAATATTGTAGAAATCCCTATGCGGCACGGCCTTTTGACTCGCCAGTTCCCTGAGCTCGTTTAGCAGCACATGCAGCTGATACTTAGAGGATAGGTAACTTAGTCTTCGGTAACAGAAAGATTTCAAAGGTCCGTCGGCGATCATAGCGCAGAGGAGGTTCATGTCCTGGACGAAGGCCGCCAGATCCGGATACGAATACGGGAGCGGTTTGCCATTGGCCAGGTCCTCATCATTGGCGAACAGGTTGAACACGCCATTGACTGGCACGATCTTGTAATTCTTCGCCGGTGGAAATTCACATTCCCAAGGATCGCCGCGAGAAGCAGGCGCATGTACCGGGTGATCTGTTAATAATTAATCGTCTGTATTAGAGAAGTATCGTCAACTGTTTGTTGCCGCAGCGCTGTTTGATTTATTCCGAGATAAAACTATCTCGCGCATAGTAAAGAGATTCTTAAGAAGTAACAAGTACATCATCATTAAAAACAGCGTGCAACAGGAAATTCAAGGTAAGGATATTAATAGGTACTAGGAAGACCTGTCCAAGAGACGTCTTTGATCAGCGCGTCGATGTCCGCGTCGGATTGACTGCCCCCGATTTCTTTCGTAATATCCAGCAGCTCTTTCCCTTAAGAAATATGTAATAAAACTGATATCGTATATTCTTTATTAACTCATATTAAAAATGTGTAGTGCTTGGCACGCTAAACTAAAGCTGTGCTTTGTATGAAGCTCCGCACGAGGAGCCGCGTGATTAGATATACATCGCTGCGACGAAAAAAAAAGAAAAAAAATTACACAATACATGTATGGTAGCTTGACGTCGTTATTGCCATCGGCGCTTGAAGCATTAAACGTTAATGTTAATTGCACTGAAATATTTTGTGAGATTACAGTTACGTTTCTTTGGTAGACAACGGCACGATCAGGAAAGGATATCCAATGGGAATATGGTTAAGGTAGATATGGAATTGGATTTTCATTATGACTTCGGTACTGGAGCCACTTCTCAATTAACGGTAGATACCTTCGATGGCCTTGCGATCGTCGTGATGTACTTCATCGTCCACAGTGAGTGGTCTTTTATCGATACTACGCAAGAATCTAGAAGTAATAGTAGGGAAGCTCTGCTTAGAGTTGTTCATGTATTTTTCGCGTATCGCCAATGCTTGTACCAGCATCTTGGAGGCCCTTTGAAGATCTTCCAGAGGTACCTATGTATAAGTTTTATATAGATAATAAAATTGGATAAAAAATGAACTAAGAAAATAATTTTTCGAATTGACAATATTTTAATAATTTTCCTGATTATAAAATATTCATTAATCATTATGACATATAAAAATCTCTATTATATAATAAAATAATGTAAAAAAATATATATATAATTTGACTTAAAATTTAAAATATTTTGGATAAAAGATTATAAGATAATATATTTCATGTCATCGAGATTAAAGACATTCTTTATAGATTAATGTAGATACAGGATAAAGGAAGAAAAGGGGAGTCACATCTAGGTGACCAAGGGTTTCACGCACAAATCCGCACTCTCAAGGTTTCCATTTCACACAAAATCTCTAAGGAATACTTATCATATTGTGCATAACAGCTGCGAAACCATAAAATTACATCTCTACTAGGTCGTTACTTCTATTTTGTCAATTATTTGATAATAATATTTTATAATTATTTCTGAGAAAATATTTTTTAGAGATAAATTTTTTTTATATTTTTATCATTAGTAAATTTAATTACATAATTTTTATTTAATTATTATACATTTGGCAAATTAATATAATTATAATAAGGATTATGATAAGGATACATTAAATGATGTTAAATGCTAATTAAATAATTTTTGAATTATCTCCTCACACATACACACACACACACACACACACACACAACACACATACACACACACACGCACGCACGTACGCGCACACACACACACACACACACACACACACACACACACACAAATGATAATAAATACGATTGTCGTTCGAAAAAAGTTATGAAAATTATAAAGTGTTTATTTAAAAAATATAAATCAGCTCAAGTCAACAGTCTGAAACTCACTCCAGAAGTATCCTCGCCGGATATGGAGACTCGTTGAAAATGAGGCACAAAATCATTTTCTTCGATCTTGAAACTATGATCAATGTCATCAGGCACTCCTGGATGAAGAGATGGTTCATAATGACTGCGACGTTCCTCAAGATCTTTTGCAGCTCTGTTAAATAAGAAAAGAAACCATTCTTCGAGAAAATTCATTTCATGTTTCATAAAATAAAATTTCGCAATATATCTGGTATATATTTTCAAAATAATTCGTAATTATTCTGCAAAATATCGCATATTAAAAATATCTCTGACAAGAAATATTAAAATCGTTTGCAAAAGCAAATGTTTTATTTAAATTTATGATGAAGATTTTTACTAAAAATTTGTTCCAAAATTTTTTAATACACAATATTAAATGACTCAGTAATTAAAACCGATATTTAGTCAATTTTATTAGTATAAAAAAAATTAAACGAGTAATAAAATACAATATCTATTTATAATTCAAAAGTTCAATATTCTACCTCATTCTCGTTTCACTTTAGATTAGGACAAAGAATTTTTTTCATACCATTATGCATATATTAACTGCTGCTCTGTGCAAAACAATATTTAAAATTATCTTTTACAATGCCGATATGTTGTGGAGGAAAATTCATAATGGAGTTAATCTACAGTTGCAATAAAGACAAATGAAATACTTTTGTGGTCGAGTTTCCAATCACAAAAGAAGAAGGTTAAATTCAAAGTGATAAATACTTTATGGACCTTTGACCTGAGGCTATCAATAAGTACCCAGACGATAATCTTTTTTTATATGTATGCATGCGAGCAAATGAAAAACTGTGAGATAACCATTTTAATTATTGCGTCGTGCATAAAATGTTCCATTAATGCCTATTTGTATTATATCCCCATTTATTTCCTTAAGTCTATAATTCCATATATAATACTAGCAGGATAAGAGTGTTGCATATTAAAAATAATATCTCTGACACACAAAAAAAAGATAAAATCGTGTCACAAAATGAAATATTAGTTTCGTGATAATTTTAAATATTCTTTAAATCAAACACAAAAATAAAAAAATAATAAAAATTAATATAATAATTATATAAAATATATTAGTTAAATATTACTAATATTGCAACA